CCGACAACGAGACGGACTTCGATGAAGAACATTATCCTCCGGCCGAGGATAGATACAAGCAACTGGAGGACCGGTTGAGTGCTATGGAAGTTCAGAAGGTGCCTGGTCTGGACTTTGGTGATCTAGGTCTATCATCTGGGGTAGTGATTCCCCACAAATTCAAGGCACCAGCCTTTTCTAAATATGACAGAGTTTCTTGTCCGAAGCTGCACCTCCGGTCATATGTGAGGAAGATTCAACCGTATACCGCTGATAAGAACCTATGGATCTATTTCTTTCAAGACAGTCTCTCAGGGACTCAGCTTGAATGGTTCTACCAGTTGGACGAAACCAGTATCCGCAGTTGGGAAGATTTGGCTACTGCATTCTACAGGCAGTACCAGTACAACTCCGACCTCGCTCCTACGCGTACCCAACTCCAGGGTATGTCAATGGGAACGGGCGAAGGATTCAAAGATTATGCCCAGAAGTAGAGATACCTCACCGGAAGAGTACAACCACCCTTGGCTGATCGGGAGCTTGTGGACATGTTTCTGGGGACCCCGTCTGGTCCATTTTTCAACCACTTGATTGGAAGCTCTTCGTCTGGGTTTACAGAGCTCATTTTGACCGGTGAAAGGATTGAAGCTGGTATTAAGGCTGGTAAGATACAGAAGGGTGCTTCATCGAGCGCCGAGAAGAAGCCGTTTAATAAAGAGTCTAGTGCTGTCTACAGTACGAGAAGACAGAATAGACCTGAACACCGCCAAGCTGTTAATGCGGTTGTTATTTCAAGACCTGCTGGTGCTCCTCAGCACAACAATCAACAAAAGGACGAGAGGCCTCGAAGGCAATTCACCCGTCTCAACATGACCTTATCTCAGATTCTGCCACAATTACTGAAGACTAATCTGGTGATTCTAAAGGAAGCCCCAAAGAATCCGAATACCACATCACCGAAGTACAACCCTAATGCCCGTTGTGCTTTTCACTCTGATAGCCCGGGGCATAATACAGATGATTGTTGGGTTTTTAAGAACAAGGTACAAGACTTGATCGATGCGAAGGAGATTGAGTTCGGAGCACCAGAGAAGCCTAAACAAGATGCAGGAGTGAACGCTATCGGGGATGATGATGATGAAGAGTTCGATATCGACAGTTGGATCTACCCGACTGCCAACGATGGATTAAGCAACTGGACAACGAAGGATTCTATGCCCGTTTCTGTCATTACCCAGTAATGAAACTTTTTGTTCTGAATATGTAACAGACAATGTTTTAAACTTTATGGCCCGGTGTCTTACCCGGGGCACTGTGGCTTCATTTGTGAGGGCTTTTGTGTGTCATTTTCATATATCATTAATAAAAGCATTGGACGTTTCTTGCATTTCAAATTTTGCGCTCCTTGTTTTTCTTTATTATATATTGCAAAACAACTATTTTACACACACTCACATATATAGGTCCACATCCACTCTGGATCTCACTGGTAACGACTCTGCTACTGCTAGTTATGACTTTGAAAATCCGATCAACTTAGCCGAAGACGAAGGTGAAGATGATTGCGAAGTGCCTGGTGAACTTGCAAGATTGTTACTCCAGGAAGAGAGGGTTATTCAGCCGCACGAAGAGCCGGTGGAATCAATGAATCTGGGTACTGAGACAGACAAGAAGGAAGTTAAGATCGGTGCAAATCTGGAGCTTAGTGTGAAACAACAGTTGATTCAGATGCTGTGTGACTATGTTGAGATCTTCGCCTAGTCTTACGAAGATATGCTTGGGTTGGATACCAATATTGTGGTTCACCGATTACCTACCAAGGAAGACTATCATCCAGTAAAACAGAAGGTCCGCCGAATGCGCCCAGAGATGTCTGAGAAAATCAAGGCTGAAGTTATGAAACAGCTTGATGCCGGTTTTCTATTAGTGACTTCTTACCCTCAGTGGGTGGCCAATGTGGTTCCTGTACCGAAGAAGGATGGTAAGGTTCGAATGTGTGTTGACTATAGGGATCTGAACAGGGCGAGCCCCAAGGATGATTTCCCTCTACCTCATATCGATGTTCTGGTTGATAATACCGCTCAGCATAAGGTCTTCTCTTTTATGGATGGTTTCTCCGGTTATAATCAGATCAAAATGGCTCCCGAAGACATGGAGAAGACGACCTTTGTTACTCAGTGGGGTACCTTTTGCTACAAGGTCATGCCCTTTGGGTTGAAAAATGCTGGGGCAACGTATCAGCGTGCCATGGTTGCTTTATTTCATGACATAATCCATCATGAGATTGAAGTATCACTATGCCAAACAGGGGATTAGATAGCGCTTTTTTAGGCTTTTAACAGCGCTTAAAAGCGCTGCTAAAACCTCCGCTGCTAAAGGTATAGACAGCGCTTTTAATGTGGGACTTTAGACAACGCTTTTATCAAGCGCTGTCTATTACCCCCCCTTTAGCAGCGCTTTTCCTTATTTATTTTTAAATTTTTTTTTTCAATCACTTTAGACAGCGCTTTCATGAAAAGCGCTGTCAATTACCCCCCCTTTAGCAGCGCTTTTCCTTATTTTTTTAAAAAAAAATTTTTTCAATCACTTTAGACAGCGCTTTCTTGAAAAGCGCTGTCTATTACCCCCCCTTTAGCAGCGCTTTTCCTTATTTTTTAAAAATTTTTTTTTCAATCACTTTAGACAGCGCTTTCATGAAAAGCGCTGTCTATTACCCTTTAGCAGCGCTTTTCCTTTTTTTTTTAATTTTTTTTTTCAATCACTTTAGACAGCACTTTCATGAAAAGCGTTGTCTATTACCCCCCCTTTAGCAGCGCTTTTCCTTATTTTTTTTTATATTTTTTTTCAATCACTTTAGACAGCGCTTTCATGAAAAGCGCTGTCTATTACCCCCCCTTTAGCAGCACTTTTCTTTATTTTTTTTTAAATATTTTTTTTTCAATCACTTTAGACATCGCTTTCATTTAAAACAAAACGCTGCCTATCAAATTTATTCTCACCGTTTTTGCACCAGAAATTATAGCTTCATTATAACATTTTAAACAACAACATTAATATATACCACAATGAAACAATATTATAACATCAATATTCATCTCTTAAATCCTTTTTGCACAATATACACAACAACAAGATTAATATATACGACAATGAAACAATATTATAACAACATCAATATTCATCTCTTCAATCCTTTTTGCACAATATACACAACAACAACATTAGTATATACAACAATGAAACAATATTATAACTACATCAATATTCATCTCTTCACTCCTTTTTGCACAATATACACAACAACAACATTAATATATACAACAATGAAACAAAATCCACGATGAATATATAACTCTATCTTCTACATCGAGCTGCACCTATATAACCAAAAACAAAATCAAAAAAATCAAAATTCATACAAGTTACCAAATAACAACAACAAAAACAATAATATTGTAACACAACTATAACGACATATATTATATTCTCAAAACTCAAAGTTATACCTCATAATAAAACTCTCAACTCCATAACAAATTGGCACCAATTCTCCATAAGTTCATCCAATTGATCTTTTGAGTATGAAGCACACTTGAATTCATCAAAGTACTACATAATAATATAACATAGTATGATTTAATTAAAATACTAAGTCATTTTATGAGAAATATGAAAATAATTCCTAAGTTAGAAATTCATACCGTGGATGGAATCTCTAATCGGTCCAAAAAAATAGTTTCTTTCATAAACCTCAACATAAAATAACGACAATCTACACCATTGCGCTGATGAGGACACTACACATGGAAAGAAAATACGGATATACATCAAGATATACACCTTAACTTGTTTTATCAAGTATCATCGCTATATAATCAAAACTGTGAAAATCTATACCTCCACTTTGATCCAAGAAATATTGTTGACTCTACTCCTTGGTACTTGAACATCTCTTTGTGCTCGAAAACTTTGTAGAATGCTATAATAAAATAATAACGAATATTTAGAACTATCGCACATAAATAATTAAATATACACAGTAATATTTTGGAACAATGTCACTTACGTGTCAATCGTCTTCTTCATATCTGAGTATGTTGTCCAATCATTGCCCAATGAATCCAGATAATATACAATTTCTCTCACAGGATTAATTGCAACCAATAACCAGTGTCCACTGGAATATTAAACAAAGGTTAGATGGAAATTTTCTGCACAACGTTAAAAAACGAAAAATTATAATAGAGGTAATTTAGAATAAAAATCTTACTTGGGGCCAGTATTATATGGTAAAAAGAACAATTTTTCTGTATCTTTGTTCGCCATAAATAAACTGAGCACAAATGCTATTACTTCATCTGGTTTTGAGATTATTGACCCTGCATGGACAATGTTGGGATTTATGAAAGCGAATCTGGACTCCAATCCACGCGGGCGAATCAACTTGTCATACAGAAACCTTAAATAAAAACATCATTAACATTAATTATTCATTGAAATGAGTAAATAAATTTTGCAATTAATTAAACAAAGTTGATTGGAGTATACCTGATGTATGTATTGATAACAACCATGCCTAATGTCAAGTGTCCAAAAACTTGTTCCAAATCCTCCTTACCAATTGCTGTCATGCCTTCAGAACCATAAATCCCTTCATGCAGGGGTATAAGAGAAGTACCACCTTGCGAAATAGTTGTGAAGCTTATAAATGTCTGAAGGCACGACCTATATTGTGAAGTAGTTTTATTTCTAGCCCCGGACCTCTTAGCAACACTCTTTGTTTCTGTGGGAATGTTGCTAATTACAGGCTCCTTACCCCTACTTACAGCTTCAATCTCTTTAGCAGGAATAATCTAAATATCATAAAATTAGAGTGGTCAAGTATAGGACGACAAATTAACATTATCTAAGCATAAATATCATATAACTTTGTTGTACCTGTTTTTTTGCTGTCACAGACTCCTCTGGCCGCTTAATCCCTTTATCTTTTGGTTTGGGTTTTGTAGGAGTCTAACATTACCATGCAAAAAAAAAGTAAGTAAAATGAACGTAAAAAATTTGAGTACTAAAAGGTTCATAACAGTTTTAATTATACCTCATCATCTATGCGAACAAGCCTTGACGGCCATGCAACAAACGCTCCTATTGCCTCTCCCACCAATGTTGCATCTGAAACTTCATCTGGGATTGGTAATAATGCACCCTCCTCTAAAGCAATATCAATCGACACTTTCAAATATCCAGAAGGGAGCGGTTTATGATGAAGTACTTCTCCCAGAGTGTTATGGACTTTTCCCTTGCCAACCATGCAATAAGTTGGTGTCTCTAAAAAGAGTTGACAAGGTGAAATGCCCTAAAATCAATAATAAATATGACATCGTTAATGTGTATATATGTCAGTTAAATAAATTACACTAATTTAATTTCATAATAATATATGTAAGTACCTCGGGAATACTCGGTTGAGCTGCACAATTGACACTAGCTATGTCACTAGCTTCTTTAACACCCGAAGCTTCCTTTTCTGATTGGTATTGTCTTGCTTTTTCCTTCCTCAATTCAAGAAATTCAGCTTCTAATGCATCCAACTTGGCCTGCAGTTCTTTATTGCTAGCAAATTTTGTCTTTGGATTGTTCTTTTTCAAGGAGGTTGGAGTAACCCCATGTCCTTTACCCCTCACCCGACCAGAATACTCACGAACATCTAATGCTCGACTAAGTATGCTTCTGCAATCATCTGGTGGAGATGTAGACTGAGACAGACTCTCCTGAAATTCATATGAATATTGGAAAAACATGAATACTATATGTTAATAAAATTTTGATTTAATTAGAATTAATGTTATACTTACGCATTTTTCAAAAATTTGTTGTACATCTTCTTTGAGAACTCCATCCTTACCCACACGGGCAGCCTTCCATAAAACATGCTCCAGAAGAGATGTTTCTGAACTACTCTCCTCTTTTAACTACACATTAACACAAAAAACAAGCTCAGTTATAACTATTGATGAATAAGTATATCATTGCAATTTGTAAATACTTACTATTTTTTGTTCTAATGGTGCATATCCCAAACGCCCTTTTTTGTATGGATATGCGGGAGATGATGCTCTTAGACGATTTACTTCACTAACACTCTGAAATTTTGGGGTTTTCCGTTTGGCTTTAAAAACATCCCATTCTTTAACTGAAATCACATCCGCATATTCTGCCAGATGCCAGCCTTGTCCCAGTGTCATCAACTATTGATGTTATTGAACTAATGAACCTTGGGCACATGAACCGTGCTGTTGGAGCAACAACCCTTAACGACCGCAGTAGTCGATCTCATAGGTATACTCTATTCACTTCCATGTTATCCTCTTTTGTTTTTGTGATGGTATTTCATAGAGAGGTGTTAACTATCATATTAAAAATTTCAATTTTGCAGTTGCTTGACTGTTCATGTTCAAGGAAGAGATTTGGCATCCGGAGCAACCATCCTCGGATGCATGCATTTGGTTGAATTAGCAGGAAGTGAGAGGGTGGATAAATCAGAGGCTACTGGAGATAGACTAAAAGAGGCACAACATATTAACAAATCCTTATCAGCTTTGGGCGATGTCATACGACAATCCATAATACGGCAACCAGGAAAAGAAAAAGAGATTAACTAGTGAACAGATGGAACGAAACCGAGTCAGGTCTAATCCCCTCTAAAACCATGGAACGAAACATTTCCAATCCCTCTCTATAAACCCCATTCTCAACATAACACGAAAGCACAGAACTCCAAGAAACCAAATCTCTCAGACACATTTCATCAAACACCTTCTTAGCATCACATAAACAACTTAATTCCCCATACATTCCAAGTAAAGATGTTCCAATAACGCTGCTTTCGGTACTGATGATCACTCCAGTATATGCTTAGAGGTTATTATTTCTTCTACTTAATCGATTCAACACTAGTTATTTTATTGATTCATATTTACTTTTATCCAGCATTGGCTATAGTTTGGTAAACAAATCACTGTAACTACAACTATCAATCCAAAATGTAGAAGGATGAAGAAATTTTACCTTATAGTGGAGATGGTGGTAAGAATCCGAACGAAGCGAGTTGGAGAAGAAGATGAACCACGTGCACGGTGAGGAGGGAGGAGACGAGTATGACGAAGATGAACAGTTGCTTTCAAGAAGCGCTTAAAGTGGGGTTTTGTAGAAAGTGGGGTTTCTGATAACCAATTTAGGGATTTAGAAATTTTTTAATTACCTTAGACAGCGCTTTCAAGAAGCGCTGCTAAAGGTATTACCTTTAGCAGCGCTTTAAGGCTTTAGCAGCGCTTTAGTGTAATGCCTTTAGCAGCGCTTCTTGAAAGCGCTGTCTAAGGTATACCTTTTATCACACCTTTAGCAGCGCTTTTAGTAAGCGCTGTCTAAGGTATACCCTTTAGCAACGCTTATTCATTTTTTTTATTGAAAACCTATAGCAGCGCTTAGGGAAAGGAAGCGCTGGCTATGATAAAGCCTTTAGCAGCGCTTTTAGTAAGCGCTGTCTAAGGTATACCCTTTAGCAGCGCTTATTCTTATTTTTTTAATTTTTTTATTGAAAACCTATAGCAGCGCTTAGGGAAAGGAAGCGCTGTCCATGGTAAGGCCTTTAGCAGCGCTTTTAGTAAGCGCTGTCTAAGGTATACCTTTAGCAGCGCTTACTCTAATTTTTTTATTTTTTTTTATTTTTAAAACCTATAGCAGCGCTTATGGCATAAGCGCTGTCTATGTGGCGCTGTCTATATGGCATAAGCGAATGTGTGTTGACTATAGGGATCTGAACAGGGCGAGCCCCAAGGATGATTTCCCTCTACCTCATATCGATGTTCTGGTTGATAATACCGCTCAACATAAGGTCTTCTCCTTTATGGATGGTTTCTCCGGTTATAATCAGATCAAAATGGCTCCCGAAGACATGGAGAAGACGACCTTTGTTACTCAGTGGGGTAACTTTTGCTACAAGGTCATGCCCTTTGGGTTGAAAAATGCTGGGGCAACGTATCAGCGTGCCATGGTTGCTTTATTTCATGACATAATCCATCATGAGATTGAAGTATACGTCGATGATATGATTGCAAGGTCCCAGACTGAGGAAGAACACCTTGACCATCTACAAAAGCTGTTTGACAGGCTGAAGTTGTACAAGTTGAGGTTAAACCCGAACAAGTGCACCTTCGGAGTGAGGTCTGGTAAGCTATTGGGTTTCGTTGTGAGCGACAAAGGTATTCAAGTGGACCCTTCCAAGGTGAAAGCTATACAGGAGATGCCAGCTCCCAGAACAGAGAAAGAAGTCAGAGGCTTTCTGGGACGACTGAACTACATTGCCCGATTTATCTCGCACCTGACTGCTACTTGTGAGCCAATCTTCAAGCTGCTGAAGAAAGATCAAGTAGTACATTGGAACGATGAATGCCAGGCCGCTTTTGAAAGGATTAAAGAGTATCTCCAAGAGCCACCCATTCTGATGCCACCAGTTGAAGGGAGACCTTTGATCTTATACTTGACAGTACTCAACAACTCGATGGGGTGTGTGCTGGGTCAGCATGACGAGTCTGGCTGAAAAGAGCATGCTATTTATTACCTTAGCAAAATGTTTACCGACTGTGAGACCCGATACTCATTGCTCGAGAAAACTTGATGTGCTTTGGCATGGGCTGCTCTCCAGCTGAGACAATATATGTTGACTCACACTACTCTGTTGATATAAAAAATGGATCCAATCAAGTATATCTTTGAAAAGCCTGCCTTGTCCGGAAGAATAGCGAGATGGCAGATGATCTTGACTGAGTATGACATCCAGTATACGACCCAAAAGGCAATCAAGGGAAGTGTGTTGGCAGACCATTTGGCACATCAAGCAGTGGATGATTACCAGTCTATGAACTTTGAATTCCCGACGAGAATATCATGTTGGTAACTGATTGTGAGACACCTGGACCGGATGAAGGACCCGAGGAGGGATCCCGATGGTCTATGTACTTTGATGGAGCTTCGAACGCTTTGGGTAATGGCATTGGCGCTGTGATCATATCTCCTAAAGGCTCTCATACTCCATTTACCGCCCGACTATGTTTCAACTGCACCAACAACATGGCGGAGTATGAAGCGTGCATCATGGGTCTTCGAGCAGCAATTGACCTAAGGATTAAGTTTCTTAGTGTCTTCGGAGATTCCGCTCTCGTGATCAGTCAGATCAAAGGCGAGTGGGATATGAAACACCCAAATCTTATTCCTTACAAGGAGTATGTATTGATGTTACTTCCCCATTTCGAGGAGATAACCTTTGAAAATTTCCATAGAGAGGAGAATCAGTTGGCGGACGCGCTGGCTACGATGTCTTCTATGTTCAAAGTCAATTGGGACAACGAAGCTCCCCGGATTATCATTGAGAGACTGGATGAACCTACACATTGCTGTGATCTTGAGACTGAAGAGGTAAAAGAAAAGCCCTGGTATCATGAGGTGAAGAGGTATCTCGAGGCTCAGGAATACCCCGAGGGTGCATCTGTTAATGACAAGTAGTTTCTGAGGAGGTTCGCGGCGAAATTCTTCATCAGCAATGACATCCTTTACAAGCATAACCATGATTCAACCCTACTGCGATGTGTGGATAAGACTGAAGCAGAAAGGATCATGACCGAGTTACATGAAGGTACCTTCGGAACTCATTCTAGTGGATATACCATGGCAAAGAAAATCCTTCGAGCTGGATATTATTGGTCCATAATGGAAGCTGAATGTTATCAGCATTCTCGGACATGTCACAAGTGCCAAGTCTATGCTGATAAGGTGCACATACCTCCAGTTCCTCTGAACGTCTTGACGACACCTTGGCCTTTTGCAATGTGGGGCATTGATATGATCGGTGAGATCAGACCTACGGCATCCAACGGGCATCGTTTCATCTTGGTAGAAATTGACTACTTTATGAAGTGGGTTGAAGCAACTTCCTTTGCTACTGTAACCAAGAACATCGTGGCACGGTTCATTCGACACAATCTGATCTATCGATACGGTGTACCAAAGAGGATCATTACGGACAATGGTACCAATCTCAACAATAAGATGATCACTGAGCTCTGCGAGCAATTCAAGATACAACATCATAACTCTTCTCCCCACCGGATGAAGATGAATGGGGCTGTAGAAGCGGCTAATAAGAACATTAAGAAGATTGTGCAGAAGATGACGGTGACGTACAAAGATTGGCACGAGATGTTACCTTTTGCTCTTCATGGGTACCGTACTTCAGCGCGGACGTCAACAGGGGCAACACCATATTCCTTGGGCAAAAAAGGGTATCCCGGTGGACTAAAAACCCAAAAGGGCGGTCCAGGCAAAAATTAGGGATCAAAGCGTAACACTATGTCTCATTGGATAACCTTGCATCCAGACTTCGGTATCGACTATCAAGCTCAGACGGCACTAATCAATCTGATCTACCTTCAACCAGTAGCAAAGTGATGAGATGCTCGAGGATATAAAGGCAATAGCAGAGTTGGAACCTAGTGGGATCATTCACATAGCTGTTTTGTTTTCTTTTCACAAATTGTGTAAATTCTATTTGTTCGACAGCGTTCTCTTACTAGGACGTCAGCCTCTTGTACAAAAACGCCTATTTACAGGCCAAACTTCAAAATCAATACAAATTCATTTTCAGACAAACTTCAAACTGTTTTTTTCCTTTATCTGTTTTGTTTTGCAAAGAACGTCCAATGTTCATTTTTGATATATGCATTTGACATTAATTGCTGCTCATAAATATTTACATGCGAAACAAAAGATGAATTACTGGTAATATCAGGAACATGGGCAATAAGAAGTGTCCAAGTTGTACAGTTGTTCTGTCCACCAGGTACAAAGGTAGATTCAGCTGAAGAATATGGCTAAGATACTTTCACTCCCCGCAGAGTAAGATAGTAATGGTAGTTCTCCCCCAACTGAGACTTGCAACTACGAACAAATCAGCAATACTCTCCCCAAGCAGAGTTAGTCTACCATCAGCACTAAAAAGATCTTAATATTCCCCAGTGGAGTATAAAGATATTCCCCAGCAAGTGTAAGAGTATCCCCGACAGTCTTAATATTCCTCAACGGAGTATAAGAATTTTCCCCGGCAATATACAAGGTACCCCAGTGGAGTCAATAATTCCCCAGCGCAGTCTAAAAAAAAAAAGCTTCCCCAACGGAGTTGAAGCATCATCCCCAGTAGACTTTGGAAGTTTATCCCCAGCGGAGTACAAAATAAATCTCCCCCAGCCAAATTCAGAGGATTATCCCCACAAGAGTCTAACAGGGTCATCCCCAGCAAGTTGCAACTGAAAGTTCATCCCCAGCGAAATTCTTTCCTTCCACAAGCAGGAATTCAATCCTCAACAGATTCAATGTCACCAACAACGGTACTCCATCCCCAGCGGAGTTTATCAGCGGAATCCCCAGCGGAGTTTATTGTCAAAATCCCCAGCTAAAACATCACATTTCCATACATCATGATACATGCATAAACGCATCATACCGTACAATATCGTTTATGTTGAGAACATCATTGCTTGATCCATATCATGCATTGCATATGACTGACCTTTACCTTTCAGGAAATATGCAGTTAAATTCTCCACTATGT